TGCTTGCTCTCAAGAGATAAGAACTACAGTGAAGGGTTAGTCTAACTGGTGTATCTCTAACTCCTTATGAGTCCCAAATAGCATACTTCTTTGTGGATAAATGTTCTACTTGGTGCAGTTTTGAGATTTTTGTTTGAGTGGCATGTTCTCTTGAGATACTAGTTTATTTTTAATGCAATTTTATAAAGATGCAGTACTACTTTTCTCTTTTGTTAAAACGTTTTAAGAAGAAATGCTGCTGGAACCACAGATTTGCATGGAGGCTAAGAATTTGGGGAGGTTTAGTCATAAATTTTTTTTGAGTACAGTAAAGTTAACGACACGTTTAATGACACATTAGTATTACTGTGAGTTAATTGGCTCCAAATCATAGTTATTACTAACAGTCATTTAGGTTTTTTTAGTTATTCAAATCAAAGTGAAAAATCTTCTATGATTAGTTATTATTTTGATGTTATGTTCAATTTAAATGTTATTTTACACATGTGCACTTGGGTGTACAGCACACCCAGAGGCAAGGCCTGGATCTAGTTGATCAAACCTAGGATACCTCGTGACCTTTCTTCTTTCATAGTCTTGGTTCCCTGTTCTACCCTCTGTACCGGCACCTTCCTTTGTTCCTCTTGCAGTGTGTTCTCTTGTCTTCTTTCCTTCCTGTCCTTTCTTGACCCCAATTTCAAGGCTTCTTCACCACTGTTATCTTCTTAATTCTTATTCTTTGGCCTCTTGGTATGGTGGCAACCCCTAACTGACCTGGGAAATAGAGATATGAGGTCATCATCCTATGAGAATGGAGTTTGGAAAAGTCAGAATTGGATAGTGGTAAGCAGAGAAAGGACATGGTGAGCTGGTTCTGATCCTATGGCATATCGTGTTCTGTTGCTGAATAAAGGAAAACTTTAGGCTTAGAGAAGCAGAAAGAAGAGAGTGGGTGAAGAAGGGATATTTGGTCTTTATTGATGGAGGGATGGGGAAGCCAGAAGGTCTGACTGGTCAGTTTGCAAAGCTCTCTTCTCTACACTGTAGGTCCTTGAAGCAGGTGTCCAGCCTATGTGAATTGGTGGCATAGTATAATAATAATAATAATAATAATAATAATAATAATATAATAATAGTAGTAGTAGTAAGCATTTATTTTGCATTGTGAGGTATGTGCTATGCTGGGGTTTTATTTAATCTGCTCAAGATCTCTGTGAGGCAGGTGAAATTGTAGTCCCCATTTCAAGGAGAGGTAGATGAAGCTTAGAGAGGCCTAGTAAATTCATGTTACACAATCAAGAAATGGCAGAGCATGGGGGCGCCTGGGTGGCGCAGTCGGTTGAGCGTCCGACTTCAGCCAGGTCACGATCTCGCGGTCCGTGAGTTCGAGCCCCGTGTCGGGCTCTGGGCTGATGGCTCAGAGCCTGGAGCCTGTTTCCGATTCTGTGTCTCCCTCTCTCTCTACCCCTCCCCCGTTCATGCTCTGTCTCTCTCTGTCCCAAAAATAAATAAACGTTGAAAAAAAAATTAAAAAAAAAAAAAAAAGAAATGGCAGAGCATGAATATGACCTCATGTTTGCCTCACTTCAAAGCCTCTGTACTGTTTTCTTACTTACTGTATGGACATAGGCAAGTAATTTAATCCCTTTGAAGCTCTCATTTTCCATCTATAATATAGACTAAACTACCTGCTAATGGCAAAAAAGGTACAGGGTCTCTTAAAGTTGCTTACTTATTGTTGGTGCTCAGTAAATAGTCCTAATTACTTTTTCTGGATCATTTCTTTCTCAGCACAGAAAAACACTATGTGAGAAGAGCTACTCTTTTTTTTGTTGTTGTTTTTTAATGTTTTATTTGTTTTCTGAGAGAGAGAGAGAGAGAGCAGGGGAAGGTCAGAGAGAGAGAGGGAGAGGGAGACACAGAATCCAAAGCAGGCTCCACGGCCTGGAGCCTGATGTGGGGCTCAAACTCAGGAACCATGAGATCATGACCTGATCTATGTAGTCAGACATTAACTGACTGAGCCACCCAGGAGCCCCGAAGAGCTACTCTTCTAAAATGACTGAAGAAAATTTATCTCTGGGTATTTCCTGGTGCCTTTTTCCCTTACACACACACACACACACACACACACACACACACACACACACACACTCTCTCTCTCTCTCTCTCTCTCTCTCTCTCTCTCTCTCTCCCCATTTGTTTACTAAAGACTGGACTTCCTTCTCAAGAGAAAATGTCATCCTAATTGCAGATAAAGATTAAAATGCATCCCTAGGGGTTTTAGACCAAGTGTAGGTGATCAATATTAGAGCCTTTCTTATCTAGGTTAATGGGGAGGCTCAATAATGATACCATTCTCTTGAAGAGCTTATAGTTGTCCTAGTTTACCTTCATTTCTGTGTCAGTAAACAGAAGCCCAGAGGTAGTTCCAACATGTGCAGCCATGTATGCTTGCAATTTAAGTGAGGCCACAAAGCACTGTTTTTAAAGAAGCATACAGCCTCAATTAAGTTTATGGAAAATTATGCAACAGTAATGAAAAATGCATCTCAGGATCAAAGGAGAAGCATTTGCTTATGATTAGTTTGATTTATGCTGAGCTTGACCCAGGAGCCTCCCACTACTGCTTCCTTCCTACACATTATACATTTATGAAATACACACATACTTATGGCTGTCATATAATATGTACAAGATTTACTGATGACAGAATGTTATTACTGTTTCAAACAAATGCAAGCTATTCAGACTTGCAGAAACAAAAAATGAACTATACAAATAATGAATGACCTTGTAGTTTTTCCTTAGCTGCTAACAATTCATTATAGTACTATATTCTACCCAATTAAGAAAGAAAAAAAAAGATTTATCTTTCTAATGAATGGATGGTCTGAGGAAGTGGTTTTGGGGATAAATGGAGCTCATAGGAGTATTCAGTCAGGTGTCGTCTTTAATAAGACTTAAATTTGTTTCTATGTGCTGGGCCTTTCCCACTAAATACAGCATTAGTTCAGGCTCTTCATGATCTTTAGTTTAAATTGTGTGATGAGAAGACCTGAGCAATGAATAATAAACATGGTTAGAGATTTAGAAAAGATGCTTATGTCAAAAATCCAAGATGACTAATATTACTGGCCCCCCAAAACTGTAGACAAAAAGGAATATTATTTGACAATTTAAATAATATGTGAGTTTGATAGGAGTTAAATTTTGATCTGTTTTGTTACTCTGGAAATTTTATATCTTTAGTGTTAAACATAGTATAAATTTTTCTTACCCTTAAATATCTCAGCAGCTGTGAAAGGATTACTTTTGTTAGTGTAAAGAGGAAAACAAAATCATGATATACTGGGTATGTGATAGAGAACATTCCCTTTGAAGGGTTTAAAATCTTTTTTTATACTTTGTATCTGTGAGATTTCATATACCTTTGCTCAAATAGGTATTTTTTCTTAATAATTTCAAGAACTATTTTGGTCACTTGATCGTTGTATTTTAAAATGAAATAAATTTCTAATTATGTAAAATTTTAGTTTTTCCTAATTTCACAGTGTAAACAAACCATCGCCAGTGTTAAGTAATAAATCTGTGGCATCCATTCATTCAGTATGTATTTTGTGAAGGCCTGTAGTGTGCTAGGCACCTGAGGAAACACAGACATGGGCCCTTCCTTGATGGATCCAACCTTCACTACTGTTTTCTTGATTTTAGATCCAGACATTTGTTCTCATGCACTAAGATTGGTCTGCCTTGATCATTATTTTTAAGGAAAGAGTTTGACAACTGATAGTAATCAAAACCTAGCCTAACTGAACATACAAATATCCATTGTATTTATTTCTTTGTTTCCAAATTGTGAATTGTAGCACTCAATTCATGTTTTGTTTGTTGAGGTATATAGTTTTTAAAAAGAAGTAATTTTAGCAAAATGTTCTCTAAAATATTTAGTTGTGTTTTTTTTTTAGTTTTTTAAAACTTGTGGTAATCATAACAGTAAACCATTTTTAAGTGTACAATTTATTTCATTAAGTGCAGTTACACTGTTGTACAACCATCACCACTATCCATTTCCAGAATTTGTTCATTATTCCAAATAGAAACTGTATAAAATCTTTTAGTTTTAAGTATCTAGAGAATATTTCTTTATTTGTGCCAAGTCTCACCACCTGTCTTCCAACAACCCAGTATTCATTATGATCTACTTGTACTTAATGAATTCTGAGCTTGCCATTTGAATTAGAATGGTTACTTTTGATTTGTATTTGTTCCATGTTTCTAGGTAGTTATTAAAATTGCATCATCTTTCATTTTACTGTAATTTTATATTTGTTTGTTTTTTTGGAACAATGAAATATATATGAACTTGGAAGGAGATCAAACTGAGTAATGTGAACATGGAAAATTTAATAGAGAAGGGAAGAAAAACTGGGGATTAAAGACTGTGGTACACAAAAAAGTCTGATAGTCTCAGACACTACTGGTTTCCTTCCCCTCCTACTAAATGCCTGGAGCAGGAAGCATATCTAGTGTAAAAGATATTTGGGTCTGATCTAAAAGAATTCAGTACCCCAGACACTGGATATGAATTGGACTCAACAAGAAGGATTGTTCGGTTAAATCTGCTGTCTGTGTTACTCTTTGTGCTCAAAAATACAGCTGTTTAAAGAGTTCTAAACATTATTTTTGAAAGAATTTAAATACCCTATTCACATTACAGATGCTAAAATGTCATTTGCTTGGCTACTTCTCTTCCTCATTCGTAACAATCACATGGTACTGTTACACAATAAAGAAATGGAGAAATTATCAGGGAACCTTTTTCAGAAAATTTAGCAAGTAAGAATTTAAGAAAATAGGAAAGTTATTTGTTGCCTGTTAATCAAGATAACTTTTTATTAATTTGTCTACAAGTATATAAATCTACTTTTCTTTTGATATAAGCAAAAGTATAATTTTCATCTGCATTTATTCTCTGTTTTTTAAGGAGTGACACTCCTAATGAAATCTATTCATTACAGCTAAAAGATGGAGGCAAAGCATCCCAGGCAAATGTAAGAATAGGCGATGTGGTTCTCACCATTGATGGAATAAGTGCACATGGAATGACTCATCTTGAAGCCCAGAACAAGATTAAGGGTTGTACAGGCTCTTTGAATATGACTCTGCAAAGGTAATTTGCATTTTTTTTTTTTTTTTAACCTCAGAGAAAGAACAATACTGAGGAATGTGTTTTTGTGTATCTGATTCATGGTATTAACTCAAGTTTCTACTACCACTGTTTCAAGTAGATAAATTAAAAAATGTAAAGGCTTTTAAATGGAATAATTGAACAGTATGAAAAATTGGTGAAAGCTTTGGATTATTTCCCCATAAAAAGACATATATTCATGTATTCATAAAAATTGTATATTCAGTTTTAGAAAATCTAAGATTTCCTAAAATTTCTCAGTAAAGTACAGGCTAAAAATTCTTATTATAGGGTAAAACTCTTGGCCTTAATATTCTGGGAAGTATATTAGAGGGTATTATTTCAAGATCTAGTTTGGCTTTTTCTTACCTTTTGCCCTTTTTTTTCCTGGGTAGAAAAATAATTTTTTTATATACTCATTTGAAATGCAAATTTTCTGAACTTACTGTTTTTTTTTTAAAGTTACTCTGGCTTTAGTTATAGCATAGCTAATCATCTCATTGATTATAATATATCAGGCATTTTGAGCATTTCAACATTTGACCTGCTGCCTTGAAATCATGTGGATTGCTTGCTAAAATTACAAAATCAGAACATCAGAAAGGACCAAGAATTATATTTTAATAAGCTGCCTATGATTATTATGAATTATAACATTAGGCTGAGGGGAAGGAAGGTGAAGGGGAGTGGGGAGAAGGTGACTGACTGATGGCTCTGAACCTTTAGGCTTATGGGGAAGGTGGGTATGGAGGGTTTTAAATAAGTCTCGTGTTTGATGATTACAGACATATTCTCTATTTGTAAAATTTGGAAGACACCATTTTCTTCCTTGAAACATCTCAGGCTTCCATAAATTATTGTGTATATTATAAATTTTTAAGAGGGGAATAACATGTGGTACCAAACATATTTGGCTATGGAACCGTTTTTCCTTGGAGTCTCTCCTGGGACTATTTAAAGGCTAGACACAGGCTAAATTTTATGTACTTGTCTGGAAGAGTATCAGTTTGGTCTTAAAACTGAATAGGAGAAATTTTTGTGAACTTAGACGTACAGATTTACTTTGATGTAACCATTCCTCCCCTCGCCCCCCCCCCCCCCCCCCCCCGTTTTTTTTGGTGGGAGAAATTCATTTCAGTGGGACTATTTGGTCAAAGGTTATTCGTATTTAAATATCAATAGCTATTAGGTATATATTTTAATGCATATAAAGGAGTCAATGAGAAAAAATAACCTTGCTAAAAAATTCTATTTCTGTAGTGTCCTTTCTGTTCTAGGTACTGAGACATATAACACAAAACTATTGTTACTAATTATATGAAAAGTAGCCATTTTTGTTTATAGTCATTTTTACTAAGTATGAATTTTGAAAGGATACCATGAAGCCAAGAAGATTAAATTGTCTGAGATATTAACTAAATAAAATAGAGATGGTGACGGGTGTTTCTCAAATTCTAAAGTTGAAAGTTTATGTAGAGTGTAAGTTCTTTTCCTGGGCTGTGTATCCCTTCTTTCATATCAGCCTAATTATTTTCACATTACACTCCTTCTTATTTAATGACCCAGGACCCAGTGTCTTATTTTCTGTTGAAAATACTTCTGGGTCCCCTAAGAATAGATGAAAACCAGATGTTACCTTGTTTGGATGCATTTCCAATGTAAGTAATCTGTTACTGACCTTTAATAAAGATTCTCTTAAGCTACTTAACTATGAATTTAACGAGTTGTTATAAACATTTGGAGATGCGGCATAATCTTTATATTTGTGAGTATGGATATTCAGGGACCCAAAACATGAGAGAGAATTTGAGAGTCCTATTGTTATTTGTTGTAATTCTCAAGTTTTTGAATACTTCTTGTGTTAGGCAGTGTCAACCTGAAAAGAGATTTACATTTAAGAGAATTTATGGTTTAACATTGACATACTACTGAAGAAATATTTTTTTGCCTTTCAAGGAAAAAATAAAACTTTGAAGAGTTAGTTTCAATTCTTCCCTATACATACACCAGTCCCTTCTTAAGTTCTTGCTTCTCTCAAAGCAAATAAATAGTTTTCCTTCCACTTATTTCTGAATCTGACAACAACATCCTTTTTATTATTTATTTATTTTTGAGAGACAGAGCACAGGCAGGGGCAGAGAGAGAGGGAGACACAGAATCCAAAGCAGGCTTCAGGCTCTGAGTTGTCAGCACAGAGCCTGATGCTGGGCTCGAACCCACTAACTGTGAGATCATGACCTGAACCGAAGTTAGATGCTTAACCTACTGAGCCACCTAAAAAAGTTTTTTTATTTATTTTGAGACAGAGAGAGAGAGAGAGAGAGAGAGCACGCACACAAGTGAGGGAGGGGCAGAGAGAGGGAAAGAGAATCCCAAGTAGGCCCTGTGCTGTCGGTGCAGAGCCCGATGCGGGGCTTGATCTCACGCAAGAGAGAGATCTTGGTGAGATCTTGACCTGAGCTGAAATTCAGAGTCAGATGCTTAACCAACTGAGCCATTTAGGCACACTGACATGAGCATCCTTAATTGGCCTCCAGTCACCTTACCTTCTTTATTCTATCTATCACCAACCAGACTGCTTTGTATTCTCCTTCCAAACTGAATGACCTACAACAGTATTTGTCCTGTGTAACTCTTTTCTTCATAAACATGGACTTTGCTTTGTGAGTATGTAGTACTTCCCTTTATAGACTTTTCTTAATCCAGTTTTCCTTGAAGCAGAACCTGAGGTGGAATTCCTGTACAAGTAATATATCAAGAAAGGTTTTTGAAATGTTACAACAGAGTGAGTAAAGCAGAATTGGGAAGAAGAGGAAACTGAGATGAGCAAATAATGTGGTTTCAGGGGTTATCTAGCACTAGCTTGATCCGGGAGGGAGCTGGGGGACAAAATCGTACTATAGAGGATGTCTTGCCCTGAGGCAAGGGAATTGGGCTTTTGTCTCCCTTCCCTTGCATTTGTTAGACATTGGCCACCAGTTGTTGAGGAAATGTGTATGTGTGTGGATGTGTGTGCAAAGTGCATGCAGGGGAGGGGTAGGAAGTAGTTTCTTGTTTGCACAGAAAGTGGCTGGTGTGAACCATTAGCATTTCCTTAGTTGCTGTACCAAGTTGGTAGAAGGGTTCCAGAGGACCCAGTCTGGATACAGCACTTGCTATGAGATTCCTTCTAGACTTGAGTCCTCTTGCTCAGAGGATTAGGCTCTCTATGATCTAGACTCAGATTGTCCTCCCCAGATCATCACAACTCATCAGTGAATGCCATCATTTTATTTAGTTCCTTACTGTCCTTCACCTCCCTGGCTGCCCTCTCATGAAATTCACTTTATCAGGGATGCCTACCGACCTACATGCCAGCTCATGTCTCTGCATCCACAAAGCCCACATCAGACTTCATCTACCCATAGTCTTTTCTTTGCAACTCATTCATTTTTTTTTTCCTGTCTGAATGCCGATGACCAGTTTCTACCATTTGATTCAGCATTTAATTATATACTAGGTATAACCAGGAATAACAAGGCACATTCCATGAGTCATACAAATAAATCTAATTAGTTAATAGTTGTACCTAATACTGTCTATATAATTAACTAATTACTCCATGTATATATTAGTTCTGCTTCTCCGGCTAGACTCCTTGAAAGCAAAGACCATGGTTTTTGCACTATTTGTGTTTAACAGAATCTTGAATAGTTTTGTGTTCTTAATCTCTAATTAATATTTGATGGATACCAGCATTAACTCCCAAACTGGGAATCGTTTGCTTATTCCACAAATAGTTTTGAGCTTTTACTGTGTGCCAAGCATTGTTATAGATGCTGGGGACATGCAGTGAACGAAACAGACAAAAATCTCTGCTCTTACAGTGCTGACCTTTGAGTGAGCAGATAGACAATAAACAAGTAAGTAAAAGCATGTATTATATTACATGGTGATAAGTGTTATGGGGACAAACAAAGCACGTAAGGGAGATAGGGAATGCAGGGGTAAGGAATTGCAAGTTAAAATAGAGTGGTTAGGAAAGCTTCGGTGAGGTTATTGGATATTTGGGTCATGAGTATCCCAGGCAGAGGAAAGAGGTGGTGCAATGGCCCTGCCTGGGAGGCCAGATTGCCTGGAGCACAGTGAGTGAAGAAGGTAGACTGGTAAGAGGTAACATCAGAGAGGCAGCAGGAAGTGGCTTGAGATGGGACAGAACTCGTAGAGCCTTGTGGGTCACTGTAATGTTTGTAATCAAATTTAAGTTTTCCTGGACCTAAAAAAAAATTGTGAGAAAGCCCTGAAGAGTTTTGGTGCTTGGCCAGACCTACCAGCAAGGTTTGGGAAATGACTTCATTATTGGAAGCAGGGGCTAGACAGAGGAGAGAGCAAGCTTCTCCCCAAGTCCCCTCAGTGGCTGTGCTGCCTTTTCCTTCTAGCGCTGGAAACACTGGATGGTTGCCACTTCTGTGGAGTTCTGCTCACCTCCACCCAAGAATCCCCAGGGGGAGAATATAAGAGAAAAGCCATTTTTGTTTTTGAAATTAAAGTTACCAGGAATCTTGTTTTGTGAAATTTTTTTGCATGAAGTACTAATATGTATCTATTTATTAAATAAGTATATAGTATATATATTTGATTTATCTTTTCTTTATGCCCAACCTCAGTATCCTAAAATAGGATTTAGATAAGAAAAAGTAAGATAAAGATACTTGTTTATGATTAAGGTTATTTTGTAACTTTTTTCTATCTAGTCTAATTTTGGAATATTTAATAAGGCAAATATATTATCTTTTTGATATCCTAAAAAAATAAGTCTTGATTCACTGTGTTCTGTGTATCTAATGCATATAGAGGTGTGGAAGATTTCATTTTAATTTGTCTTTTATCTTTGGAATAGGAGTAGAAGTTTCTTTTTCTTTTTGTTCCCCCTGCAACTGGTACTAATTCTAAGAGTACTACAACCGGACAGTGAAAAATTCTATTTGAAATTATTTTTCCTC